GGGGGAGGGTGGAGCCTAGGGAGTACTGGGTGGGGGGAGGTTGCAATAAACAGTGAAGGGAGTACTAGGGTTGCCCATGGAAACTGGCAGGGATAAGTAAAAATAATTAGCCCACATTTGACAGAAAAAGAGAAAAACGCAAGTCTGGCCCTTAGAGGAGCCAGCAGTGGGCAGGACGGGGACCGAGCAATGCCAATTTCCTGGCTCGGACTCCCATGCATCTTTTCAGTACCATTGCCAGTTGGCACAGTGTGGTGTGGAGGACCCAAGAGGGGCGGGTCTCTTCAACCAGTGAGGGTTGAAGAGCCACTCACTCAGCTTTTTCTCAGAAAGTGAAGGCACCAAGAGGCCTTCACTCTCTCTGGACATGTCCCCTTTGCTTCAGTCCAGGAAACAGCCCTGACAAAATTGCCCAAGGCCTCACCTGGGTAAAGGAGCCATCCTCGCCACACTCTGGGACAAACACAGCCTCCTGAGGCTTCTTGGCTTGCTCTAGGGCTTGAGCCCGCTCCAGGCGACACTTGCTCTGGCCGGCATCTAAAGGGGAGAAGAGCATATTTCATATTTCACTTGGATTCCATGCTGAAGCTATGGGACAAAATGGCCGCCTAGTTGTAGGAGTGCTGAAAGGAAAGTGCTCCACTTGCTGGAAGCCCACACAGCCTACGGCCAGTCTCCCCACAGAAGGATACAGGCCAATGTCTCTGCCTTATCATTCTCTTGATGTAATTCTAAGCAAAGTATATGTGTGGGGGAGGAGGTAGGTTTATACCAGATTTTGCTTATTTTTTTCTCCCAAGTATCCCTACCTTCACCCAGAGTGGGGAAATGTTTCACTCCCATTGTTTTTCACTGGGTTATTCTAAAACCACCAAGTCCAAATGGTCTCAATGACATGTTATATTAATAGTTCAAGAATCAAGCACTTTCTTTTTTTTTTTTTTTTGAGGGTTTTTGGGTTTTTTTTGTTTTTTGGTTTTTTTTTTTTTTTTGTTTTTTTTTTTTTTTTTTTTTTTTGCGCTATAGGGCACGTGCGCTCACCAGACAGACAGAGAGAGACAGAGAGACAGAAAGTGAGAAATCACCCCCCAGGGGGGATGGCCATGCTACAATCCCATCTCCTTCGCACTCCTCTCAGGATCTTGGGCACGCACGCACACGCGCCCGGCGTGAGTTTTAAGCTACCGGGTCCCGGACGCGAACCGCGGTCAACTACATGGAAGTCCAGAGATATAGCCATTACGCTAACTGCTGATCCCAAGAATCAAGTACTTTCTTTAGAAGATCAAAGGCTCCTACTGCTTAGCCTCCTACCGTTCTTGTGAGGGCTCTAAGCCTTCCAGGGTCATGAACCCAAATATCTCCAGGACTCAGAAAAGTGATATCAATTTGAGAAGTGAGCTGGCTACGAGAAGAATGCCATTTGGTTCTGAGAGACTATAGGGAGTGCTGAGGACTGTGGCAACCTGGAGGAAGAGCTCCTCCTTCAAGGGAGAGCTGCTATTCAGCTCTAACCATGTGTTGTTTTGTGAGAACACAGACCAAATATTACCAAAACTTACAATTTTAGAAGAAAAGTACAAAATGCCAGATGTTTATGTTGAATCTCCCAAGTTTAAAATGGTATCTCAAATGTTTTTAATGTTTTTAAATATGTGAACAGACCAAACAAAACACTTCTGTTGGCCAACAATTTGAAATCCCTGTTCAGAAGCCAGTAATAATGCTTTGCCATTTTAAGCATCTGAAAAAAATTTTTTTTTCTGAGCCCTGTTCTGGTGGCAGTGTTGGAATAGTGCTCCTTCCTTCAGGTGGACCAGTCTGTCTTCTCTTACCCCCCAGTGGAAGGGAGGGGGAGACAGCATAGCAGACCAAATGAACAGGCTCACTCCAAACTCCCTCACAGGCATGCCCAGCGCCAGGAGTGGTGTGCCCAGGAGCCCGTCCCCAGCTGGGTGGAGGTGCACACACTCACCTTTGCATCTACCTCGATGTACCACGCCCAGGGTTGGGTCTCGGCATTTGGCTCGCTGGTACTCACACATGGACTCGTAGGACCTGCCATCAGAGGCACAGATGGGTTTGGGTTGAGTTCTGGAGCAGTGAAGATTGCACTGAGGGTCTCGGTCACTTATTAGAAACTAGTCGGAAAAAAAAGAAAAAGGGGATACAGGTTACTTTTGTAAGAAAAGTGGGGTAGGCCCATGATTTACAGCCCTGAGTTGCCCTTGGGAAGCAAGTCCTAAATAAACCCCAAGTTATAAAATCCTAGAGGTAAAGGGAACTGGATGGTCACAAAGCCTAACCACAGAAAACCTTCTCCACACACCTAAGAACACTGATGTCTGATGGGTACTGATCATCAATAGGCTCTGGACAGGTATTCACAGGTAAGATCTCATTCATCCTCACAACAGCCCTACGAAATAGGAACTATTTACTTTTAGATAAGAGAACCAAAGCCTAGAGAGGGAAAACTTGCCCAGTGTCACATAGCTACAAGTGGTAGAGGCTGAGTTTGAACCTAGATCTGTCAGAAATAAAGCCAAAGCTTTAACCTCTAGGACATTCTGCCTCTCCAACCATACTGATGGTCTTGCAACCTCTATTTGGGTACTTCTTCAAATTGGGAAATCACTACCAAGATCCAAAGTTCATCTTTGGGAAGTTTTATCTATTAGATAATAGTATTGCATTCAAATCTATCACCCTTCAATTTCTGCCAATGGTTCTCCAGCAGAATACAACTAAAGGGATTTCCTGTGAGAAAGGAATCTCCTGCTTTTTAAAAGCAATAGTAATCAGCTTGGGAAATGCTGGATTCAACAGATTTTAGTGCAGAACTTTTCAGGCAATATCGATACATTCTCATACATTGTGATTGCCCAAGGGTACAGTAAATTTAAAATAGCTGCAAATTATTAGCTACTCCTCCCATAGAGCCTTGGAATCTAATTACCTCCCCCTTGGGTCTGGACTGGTCTCAGCCACTTGCTCGGCCAATAAATGGTCATGGAAGTGATGTTTTGAGACTTCAGAGGTAGGTCACATGCAGCCGGGCAGCTTCCTCCTAGGCCGTGCACAGTACTTTCTTTGAGGAAACCAGTTGTCACGCAAGAAGCCTAACAACCCTGAGACTACCATACCATGAGGAAGCCCAAGATACCAAATTACTGGAAAAGTCATGATGCATTTTTGCATAGAAAAACATAGAAAAAATACATCATGACTTCCCCAACAACCCAATAGAATATGTGAAAACCACGTGGAGAGAGAAATGCCCAAGCAGCCCAGGCAGAGACATGTGTGAGCAAAGAAGCCTTCAAAAGAATCCAGTCCCAGTTGTAATCTAGTTGCAATTAACAAAGATGAAAATAAGTAATTGCATGAGAGACTCCAAGTGAAAACCACCCAGCTGTGCCCAATGAATTCACAGCACTGTGCTAGATAACAATAATTAATTGTTACGTTTTATGGTGGTTTGTTACACAGCAATCAATAACCAGATCAAGGAGCACAAACAATGAAGCATCTTCCAAACTTACTTGCCCATGAACTCTTTTATCAGGGAACCCCTGTTAACAGCTCTAGAGTACAATGGAGAACAATCATTGGGCCATTACAACCCATATGCTTCTATTCAGTAACCTATGTTTAGACTACAGGGGCCTTGAGAGCTCAGTCCCCTCTTATCCACTCCTGCGTGGCAGAGCCCTGGGCCGTGAAGGCTCTTTATCGGTGTGGGTTGAGGGAATGAATATCCCGCAGTAACTGTGTGGCTAGCATACATCTGGCCGTTGGAAATGCCGGAGTTGACTGAACAACCACACCAAGCTCACAGAGGTTTCGGGAAGGGGTTACTGTAAGGTCTGTCCCAGGTGTATTTGCAGGCCCTTTGTGTGAAGCAAGATGAGAACTTGTTGACCCTTCTCTAGAAATACAGATAAAGGTCCAGAGGCACCAAAGGATGCTGGAAATACACACCCCACAGCAGCCAAATTTAGACTCCACATCTGTCCACAAATACACAGACCTATCGCAGCCTTCACACCAGTCCCTCCTGGAGCTACCATGACTTCACACTTTGGAGCTGCTGCTCAGCACAGGCAGGGGTGGCTGAGGACTGAAACCATACCCAGATGGACAGCACAATTTGGCCCTCTCTTCAGATACCCAGAACTCCTCCACACTCTCAGGTTAAATCCAAATCCTGTCCAAAGCTCAGAGGAAAATCTCTTGATGTCTCATAAGCACAGCATTGGTAGTCCAGTGCTCTGGGGTAAAAATCACTAATACACAAAGTCACATCCAAAGGAAGGCCAGTGCCTCCCAGGCTGCCACGGAGGAGGGATGAGTTGACAGGGGCAACGAGAAGGAGCAGGGTTGGTGGCATGTTCACTGCTACACAGGAACCTAGCTTCAACTCTCCTTGGGTTGCCCCTACTGAAAACCCTTCAGTGGGGCCTCAGTGCCCCTCTCACTGCTGGTCAACACACTGGCCTGCTTTCCATTTCTCAAATGACTACCTTTGCTCTCACCTCCGGGCCTTCACTCACATCTTCCTCCCCCATCCGCTCCCACCCTGCTTCGGGTTTCGGGTTCCGCCATCTCTGGAACTCACAGGTGTAATCGCTCACATCTCTCTTTTCCTTCATGGCTCTTTACATCGTATGTGATGACGAATCTATGTGTGACTTGACGAAAATGGAGTCCCCCACCCTGAGCTGTATAAAGACAAGGATAATGTCGATTTTGCATGTGAGCACGTGTGTGCTCTGGTGCCGGGACATTGGGCTAGAACTGGGATGAACACAAATCTCTGGTAGCATTTCCTACACGTGTCACCCCAAAACCTGCCAGTGTGATATGACTGCCCTGGCCTCCTGGGGCCCTCCCCCTCCCCCAGGGACCCTGTGCCCCATTGGCTGAGCCCTGCCCTTCTCAAGCCATGTCCTCCCTCCACCTCCCAGACATGGTCGAGCACTTTCTGTTCTTGCTCCACCTCGGAACAAGAACTCTTATCAGGAATTTTTTTTTTTTTTTGAGAGATTTTCGCTATAGGGCGCATGCGCTCACCAGACAGACAGAGAGAGAGACATAGAGACAGAAAGCAAGAAATCACCCCCCAGGGGGATGGTCACGCCGCAATCCCTTCTCCTCCATTCCCCTCTAGGGATCTTGGGCACGCACGCACACGCGCCTGGCGTGAGTTTTAAGCCACCAGGTCCGGGACGCGAACCGCGGTCGACTACGTGGGAGTCCAGCGACATAGCCATTACGCTAACTGCTGGTTCCCTTATCAGGAATTTCACAGAGAGGATGTGACTGTCTTATCTGGGTGTTCAGCCTGTGGCATCTGGCACACAGTAGGCTCTTAGTAAGCAGTTTTTGACTTTGTGGCTTCATGTTTGCAACTGGGTCAGTATTTCTGTTCACAGTGTTACTCTCTGACAATGAAAGGTGACGTGGGACAGTGGTTAGAAGCATGGCTCTGGAGCCAGGCCATGGGTATTAATCCCAGCACAGACACAAGGTCACTGTTTCATCTTGAGGAAGTGGCCTCACTTCTCTGGGTTTGGGCTTTCTCATCAGTCAAATGAGGATAGTAACTCTGCCTCAAAGGGTTGTTGTGAAGATTTAAATTAGTTAACATATGGTAAATCATATATAAGTTCTTTTGCATCCTCTTTTATATGGGAGTGAGGGTTAAAAAGGAAAACACACTTAAAGAAGGAGAAAGACAAAGTTTCTTTTCAACCCCACAAAGGTTGCCGTGTTGTCTATTCTGCAGCTCACAGGAAAAGAGAGCTGCAGGCGTCACCGTGGAATTGAACTATGGGCCATAAATTAGGTTTGGAAAGGGTCTGCTCTGAGCCAACAGAGACGCCACAGCAGCTGTGCCAGAGACCAGCTCAATAACGAGGGGAACACTCTGTCTACAAGTGGACAGGATAAAGAGCTTCTGAAACCCCACCTCTCCCAACTTCAGAGCTTGTCCTTGGCTTCAAAAGAACTCCCAAAAAGATGCCTATGTAGAAATTACTGGTCCCTGAGGCCAAGTAAAAATTTTAGAAACATCACAGGATCATTACTAAAGACCATCTCCACTAGGCTGCAGTGTCTCATTTTTATCTGTTTTAGGAACTCTGTGTATTTGTGATTGTTTTCTAAAGGAGTTGGTGAGGTCTATAAAAAGGGAGCTTTAATAGGATGATTATAACCTAACAGTACCACTCAAACCTCCAGGGCCCCATAGGGGTTACTTTGGGCCCACAGACACTGAAAACGAGCTCATCGCTTGTGTTCATCATCCCTTCATCTACTGTACCCAGTAAGGAGCACCAACAGGGAACCCACTCCAACATAGTCCCTACCTTCAATGAGCCAACACTCCAGGGCAGTGACAAGGAGCAAGCCACATGTTAGCAGGATACACAGACATACCAAGGCAGGCACGCCCAGAGAGGACTCCATCCTGGGGAAACTCTGGATCCCACAGTCCAGTAGAACTTTCCACAATGATGGAAATGTTCTCCATCTACCCTGTCCAGTACAGTAGCCACAAATCACATGTGGTTACTAAGCACTGAAATGCAGCTCATGCAACTGAGGAACCAAATATTTAGTTGTGTTTAATTTTAGTTAAATTTGAACGACCACATGTGGCTAGTGGCTACCATATGCAACAGCCCAGCTATAAGGTAAATAAACCAAGAGGGGAAGGAAGGGGCGGGAGTCCTCAATTGAGTTTTTCCTAACTGAGCCAGGCTGAGACTGATTGGACTAAGAGAAAAAAGAAGCAGGTCTTGAGAAGAATGTCTGTATTTTGAAGCTAGACAGTAAATCAGATCGTTATTTATGGGACAAAAGCCAGGATACACCAAGAGTTTCCACAGTCCACCTGAAGTCAGCAAGGTAGCTTTTTCCTCTCTTCTTACAGGAGGAGGAGGTGCAGGTTAGATGTCTCCAACCTCAGCCTGTGGCCAATGTCAGTCCTCTGGGCACACAGACAACATTCTGAGTCTGTCTGAGTCACCCTGCTGGGACATGAACCCCTCCAGGTCACAGTCTGTTGTGGGCACAAGAGCAGACATGATTGGTGGAAATTTTTGGTGTTGGGCAGGAGCAAACTGTCTCCCCA